TTGTTTGTTTTATTTTTTTTTTTTTTTTTTTTTGAGAGGTTTTCGCTATAGGGCACGTGCACGTGCACTCGCCAGATAGACAGAGAGAGACAGAGAGACAGAAAGTGAGAAATCACCCCCCAGGGGGGATGGCCACACCGCAATCCCTTCTCCTCCATTCTCCTCTCAGGATTTTGGGCACACACGCACACACACACCCGGTGTGATTTTTAAGCCACCGAGTCTGGGATGCGAACCACGGTCGACTACGTGGGAGTCCAGCGACATAGCCATTACGCTAACTGCTGGTCCCATAATTCTTGACTACACATTGAAACCACCTGGGGAAATCGTGAGAAAACCAATGTCCATGCCGTTTTAGGCTAATACAATCAGAAGATCAGAATCTCCCTGATGAAGTCTTTGGCATTTTCAGCGTTTTGTTTGTTTGTTTTGTTTTGTTTGTTTGTTTGTCTGTCTATTTTGCTATCTGGCATGGACACTTACCAGAGAGAGACAGAGAAAGAGAAAATGAGAAATCACTCACCGAAGGGTGGCCACACCTCAATCACTTCTCTAGTCTCCTCCGGGGATTCAGGGCCTTTCACGCATATGCACCCAGCATGTTTTTTTTCAATCCACCTGGTTCAGGGCTTGAACCAAACAGATGACCATGTGGGATCAAGAACCTTAACCTCCACACCACCTGAGAAACAACATCATGAGTATTTTTAATAGTTTACATGATTCTGTTGCAGTGATTGGATGAAAGAGAATATATTGGTTTTTCCCTCTGCCCTGTTCTTCATTACTTCTTGAGAGCCTTACAGATCTCAGAATACCCTTTTGACTGCTCAAAAATTAGTAAAAAACAAGACATTAAAGAGACTATTTTCTAAAAAAAAAAAAAAAAAGACGTTTTTGTTGTTATTTGTTTTATTACTGAGATTTATAAAAGTTCTCTTTTCTATTAAGTTTTCTCTGTATTCAAGAGAAAAAGAAATAGGGAACCAGCAGTTAGCGTAATGGCTATGTCACTGGACTCCCACGTAGTCGACCGCGGTTCGTGTCCCGGACCCGGTGGCTTAAAACTCACGCTGGGCGCGTGTGCGTGCGTGCCCGAGATCCCGAGAGGAGAATGGAGGAGAAGGGATTGCGGCGTGACCATCCCCTCTGGGGGGTGATTTCTCGCTTTCTGTCTCTATGTCTCTCTCTGTCTGTCTGGCGAGCACACGTGCCCTACAGTGAAAATCTCTCAAAAAAAAAAAAAATTTACCAAACAAATTTACTTTATATCCCAAGTAAGGCTAAACCTTATCTACCAGAAATGATTTTATATCCCATATTCTAAGATAGATGTGTAAATGTATAATGGGAAATTCAAGGTGAAATATCATGTAGTCTCTCTCACATGGGACTTCATGGACCATGAAAAATGTCAATAGACAGTGTTGTAACAGAAAAAAGAGAAAGAGCTCATTTTTGCTGCAACTGGAACCAATGGTTGGCAGTTGCATAGAAGGAAATTTGGGGTCAATATAAAACAAAATTATCAGATCTTAAGAGAAAAAAATGGGCTAGAACCAGGTGGTTGTGAGGCAGTAACACAACTTTGCTCATATAGGAAAAGTCCTGGGTTCACTTCCTGGGACCTCCCTGAGCACACTAATTGTACATATGCCATGATCCAGGCTGGCTGAGACTGGGGTGGATCATGGTGTAAAGACTTTGCAGAGGGTGCCTGTCTCTCTCTTCCTTTCTATCTTTCTCTGTCTATTTTTCTCTCCCATGGAAGAAATAAATAACTTTTTTTAAAAATTGGGCAATGGTTGGACACCGGACCAAGAAAGCCAGATCTTACATGGACAACTAGGGCTCAAGTCCTGGCCTTGGTGACTTAGA